AAAAAAAAAAAAAGGGCCTTCCAGGCACCAGGCCCTGGAAAAGCCACTGATCTGTGCCGCTGCTTTATTAACAGCCCTATGTTCCCTCCGAGTAGCTGTATGTCATTCCCCTTTGGTGATTCCCCTGGAACACTGGAGAATCTTTCATGGGAACTTGGGGATGACAAGACATCCGTTATTGACTGTTTTAAACTCTTACCCCTTCCCTCTGGAGTCATGGTGCATTCTAGGCTTTTCCTCACTGCCACCGAAGTGCAATTTTCAAGATGTAAATTTGTACACATTACCTGCATCCTTAAAACCCTCTGACAGCTTCCCATTTCTCTTTGGGTAAAGACAAAACTCTTTGCCATGGCCTGTGAGGTTATGTCCCTGGGCCAATCTGGCCCACTCTGCCAGCCCCATTTTGACCCATGCTCCTTTCACTCTGGTCTCCTTTTAAGGTTCTGTACTAATCACACTGCTTCCCACCTCAGGGACTTTGCACATGCTGTTATCTCTGTTTAGGCTGCTTATTCCTCTCTTCCTCACCTGGATACTTCCCAGTATCCTTCAGGTCTCAGTCCGTTCCTCAGGAAAGCAATTTTTCTCTCCCAGATTAGGTCGCATATGCCCCATTATAAACTCATACCGCCAAAGATACCAAAGAATCTCTCCTTTTTGGCATTTCTCAGAATTACAATCTTACATTCACTTATGTGCAGTTATTTAATCCACTTTATGGTAAGTTCCACAAGGGAAGCATGATACGAGTTCAATAAATTTGTTGAATGAATGAATGAATGAGTGGCTGTCACATTTGTCCTCTCTCCTCCGTCCCCTGCATTCCTATTCTCATCTGGGTCCGTGTCATCTCTGGCTGGTCTGTTGAACCAGCCCCCTCCTGGGCCCCAGCCCCAGCCCCACCTCCTCCAATGCCTGTGGAGCTATCTTCCCATAGCTCTACTTTTTTTTTTTTTTTAATTTTTTTTTCAACGTTTATTTATTTTTGGGACAGAGAGAGACAGAGCATGAACGGGGGAGGGGCAGAGAGAGAGGGAGACACAGAATCGGAAACAGGCTCCAGGCTCCGAGCCATCAGCCCAGAGCCCGACGCGGGGCTCGAACTCACAGACCGCGAGATCGTGACCTGGCTGAAGTCGTACGCTTAACCGACTGCGCCACCCAGGCGCCCCTAGCTCTACTTTTAACAGAGCAGGCCACTCCTCTGCCTTAAATGAATGCTACCACAGTAATATTTTTTACTAGCAAAAACTTGGAAACCATCTAAGTGTTTAATAGCAGAATATTAAACAAATATGGTACTTCCATGTAATGGGTATTATTTAGCTGTTCAATAACAAAGGAAATTTTTAGTGATAAAGGAAAAGACTTATGATAAAATCTTATGTTAACAAAAGGTAGAATGTCGAATTACATGTAATCTGGTCTCAATATGTAAAACACACTCTGAAAATCTACTGTTATAAAATGCTAACCCGAGTTATCTCTGGATGGTAAAATTATGGGCAGCTTGTCTTTCAACCTCTTTTCCTCTGTTTTCCAGAGATGTTGATGTAGATTGGAGGCAGGGATGATGACAGCCGGAATGTGATAGAGACACACAGAGAATCTAGGCAGAGTGAGGTCATGGAAGAAGTTAAGGAAAAGAGAGGCTCGAGAAGGAGTCTTTGATAGTAGAATATTGCCTCCTTCCTAGAGTTGTGCAGTTGGATTTAAACGAGATATATGAAAGTGATTAGGTTTACAGGCTTTGGAGTCAGGCTGACTGGCTTAAATATCTAAATGACCTTGGGAACCTCCATTTCCATATCTGTTAAATGGGAATAATAATCAAACATTAAGCTGTTGTTTGAATTAGAGGAGATCATGCACAGTGCCTGGCACATATAAGTACTAACTTAATGATAACTGTTATTGTTGTTTTACCACAGTTGTTAATATTATGTTATTATATTATGTTAATATTATGAGAAATATCTTTGAATTATAATGGGATTCTTAATAGTCTTTAGCTTTTGAAGAGTGTTCCCCAGTCCTTTGGGCAGAGCTTTCTGCACTTGGACCTCTGGGTTGTTCATCTGCTCCCATCATCCCCTCTCATCTGCAGTGATCCCCTCTGCCGCCATGAGGAACATCTTCAAGAGGAACCAGGAGCCCATTGTGGCTCCTGCCACCACCACCGCCACAATGTCAACTGGGCTCTTAGACAACTCTACCGAGAGTGGGGGCGCTGGGGAGAGTAAGGAGGACATGTTTGCCAAGCTGAAAGAGAAATTCTTCAATGAAATCCAGAAGATCCCCTGTGAGTGTCCTAGGTGGCTGAGAGGGCGGGGCAAGGCCAGGGTCAGTGCAAGGCCTTATGGGCAGGGCAGAGCTGAGGAAGGGTGGGGAACACCCCTGAGATGTGATTGGCTGAATGTTTGGATTCCAGGATGGATTATTTGGGGAGCCCCTTCAGGAATGGGGGGTGCCTGGCACTAATAAGGGGAACAAGGAGGCTTATGTGCCCCCGTCTCCTAAGGGGGAAGAAAGTTCTTACAACTTAGAAAACTGTCAAAATATGAAACCGAAAGAAGATGAAAAATTTGGAAACAGAAGCCATTGTTGAAGTTTCCCAGTCACACTTTGAAACTACCTTAGTTTGGAAGACAGAAAATACGCCCCCCCACCCCTGCTTTCTGAATTCTTGGCAGTGGCTGTTTAGGAGTCACCAGACATTAAGGGGAGCAGCCATATCAGTGGGAGATGGTTCTTCAGGACCATGGAGAGCAGCCAGGGCCCATCCCCAAATATTTGAGCTCTGCAAAGCCAAGCTGTCTAGGTCCTTAAGGAGCTGGCCTTCTGGCTTAGGTCAGCCCTCTCAAGCCTGGGCATAAGGAATGGGTCAAAGGAGCTCTTCCTACACCTGGGTCAGATAAGGACCATCCCATTCTTTCCAATATAAGCCAGTTTTCTGTAGATCAAATGAGTCAAAACCCAATAGAGCCAAACTGACGTTCTTCCTTGTTATACACCTGACTGCTATCTCTCAGTTAGTAGGCTGTATCCATAAGGACGGTAGGCTCAGGAGAGAGCAAGTATTAACGAAAAGGCATGCAAAGTATAGGCAAGTTGCATGTAAATCACTCATGGGTGTGTGGTTAAAAAATGTAGAGTGTGGACATTGGGGTTCATCTCTCCCCCCCATTTTTGCTGATGCTTTGGGGTCAGGGACTATAAGGTAGAGCACTGCTGACTTCTGGGGTCCTCTCTGTGGGCAGTACCACCCTGGGCACTGATCGCCATTGCTGTGGTCGCTGGCCTCCTGCTCCTCACCTGCTGCTTCTGTATCTGTAAGAAGTGCTGCTGTAAGAAGAAGAAGAACAAGAAGGAGAAGGGCAAGGGCATGAAGAATGCCATGAATATGAAGGACATGAAAGGGGGCCAGGTAGGAGAAGACAGTGGTGGGGGGAACTGAGAGGGGCCCAGCCCAGGCATTCCAGGTGCTGAAAGGCGAAGCAAAGGCTTCTGGGCTGTTCTACAGCCAAACCGGCTTCCCTCCTTAGAATGCCACATGACCCTCCCTATTGGCTACATCCCTAGTAAAATGTTGTCTACCCATCCCACAGTGGAAAGGGGGGGCTTTTTCATGTGTGATCATGGATGCATCCTTGAAAAGACAGAGGAAGAGCATAATATACTGACTCCCCCGCCAAAGAGGCTATTGGGACAAAATGTTGGAAAGAGAGCCCCTCCAACCTGCCAGGAAGTCACCATGGGAGTGACCCTGTGTTTTCCTGCCAGAGACTAGAGGACAAAATCTCACTGGAGGCACCTACTTGGTTGGGGTGGGTGGGGAATCAGATGGGGTAAAAGAATGGTCCTGAGGCACCAAGACCAGGGCCAAGGGGAATCCGTCTCTTGTCATGTAATAATTTGGTTTATTTACCCTTGTTTTGGGGGTGTTAATTGGCCTGGAAAAGTCCTTTGATAAACCCAAGTGCTTCCTTCTTAATGTTTAAGTTTACAAAGGCTTCTCTGTGCTTTTCTTTTGCCCACATCTGTTCTGAGAGTGACTAGGAGAAGTCTCTTGCTCAAGGAATCAATATGGAGGATGGCAGGAAGGGTCTGATCTCAAGAAGTCAGCCAGAAATTAAAATGGCCTTTGAGTGCTGTGTGTGTGTGTGTGTGTGTGTGTGTGTGTGTGTGTGTGTGTGTGTGCCTGAAGCCTGCAGTGCAAAGTCAGGGAAGGGGGACCCCCAAGAACGATCTGGGTGTAGCCTGACCTGGTCTCACCAGGTGGCTGTGACTTCAGGGGCTGGTCTGAGATGTAGGATGTTTTCTTACATCACTTTCTTCCTTCTCTTCTTACCTCTGGGGACTCACCCTGCTCCTGAATTCCTGCAATGCACTCCTGGTAAGTCTTGCCTAGAATGGGTAGGGCCTGAGCTGGGGGAACTTTTGGGGAGCAGCTAACAAGGGAAGCACCCCTCCCCCACCTCAAGAAGTCTAGAGCATTGGTGCAGCACCTGGTCTCATAGCACTGTGTCTTGAAGGGAGAGAGGCACACCAAAACCAGAACTGGGTCTTCCAGACACGGTCTGGGGTTCTGAGGGGCTGTCTGGGGGCTTTGAGGGGCTGTGCAGAATCAAGCCCCCTGCACAGTGCCACATTCCTTCCTGTTGCCCCGCACCAGCTCTGAGTCAGGGTCTGCACAGATGGGCTGGCTTCCTGATGCCCCTGCGCCAGGCCACATGGCTCCATTCTCTTAACTCGCCCCTCCTTTCCTCCAGCCTTCACAGGATGACGACGATGCAGAGACAGGCCTGACTGAGGGAGAAGGTGAAGGAGAGGAGGAGAAAGAGCCAGAGAATCTGGGAAAACTGCAGTTTTCCCTGGACTATGATTTCCAGGCCAACCAGGTGTGAGGGTGGGGCTTGGCGGCAAAGTGGGGGATGGGACAGAGGGCTGGGTGGGAGGGAGATAGAAACAGCTCCACACTCCCACAGCCCTCACCCCCACTTTGGCCCATAGGCATTCCTCCTTTCCATGGGGTGGGGTGGGCTGGAAACCGCAGGCAGGTACCCCTGAACATTGACTCTGCCTTGGCCACCAGCCTGCTCTACAGAAGGTTCCCTGGCCCAGATTGGCATCCACCAACCTTGGGCAAATCAGTTGCCCTTTAAGCTACTGCTTCTCCTGATGTCATTCCAGATTCCTGGGGGTGGAGATGGGAGACCAGTCTTGCTCTCTAGCACCAGCCTGTTCCCACCTCCCCAGCTGCCCACCTCTGGTGGTGGTGGTGGGGGAGTTGGTGGGTGCTGGGTCTAGGGCCAGGGCTGGTGTTAGAGCAGTCCTGAGACTCAAGGCCCTCCCTCACTCTCTCCACAGCTTACCGTTGGCGTTCTGCAGGCTGCTGAATTGCCTGCCCTGGACATGGGAGGCACCTCAGACCCTTATGTCAAAGTCTTCCTTCTTCCAGACAAGAAGAAGAAATATGAGACCAAAGTCCATCGGAAGACATTGAACCCTGCCTTCAATGAAACCTTCACCTTCAAGGTGATGTGGGCTGGAAGGGTAATGCCACGTCCCTCCCTGATCCCAATTCTGCTGGGAGTTCTACAGACCTCTCCTTGGTTCTTAGCTGTGGCTAAGGCCCTGGAATGAGCTCAGGCTGGAACAATGGTGGGCTGGACTGTGGGCTTATGTGTGAGGTCACTGCTCAGCCTCCTGTAGGACTGGGACATTCCCCTCCCCCCCCCATCCACTCTGCTCCCCCAGAGCCTGGGGTCTTCTCTCTGTCTCTACAGACTCACCAGGAGTCCTGCAGGGTAGTAGGAACAGAGCTCTAACCAAAGGATCTGCCCACAGAAGCCTCTGGAGGTGCATGAGTTGGCTTTGACCCCTGTCTGATCTTGCTTGTGCCCTTCAGGTGCCATACCAGGAGCTAGGAGGCAAAACCCTGGTGATGGCCATCTACGACTTTGACCGCTTCTCCAAACATGACATCATTGGCGAGGTTAAGGTGCCTATGAACACCGTGGACCTTGGCCAGCCCATCGAGGAGTGGAGAGACCTGCAGGGCGGGGAGAAGGAAGAGGTGAGAGCAGAGACCATGTGGAAGATAAGTGTGGCTGCCCGCCTGGGCTACCACCTATTGGCACTACGGAGATGGTAGGCTTTAGAGTTGGGTGAACTGGGTTAGGACCCTAGCTCCACAACCCCACCTGTGTGACCCTGGGCACATCACTTAATCTCTTTCGATCTGGATTGTCTCCTGTAGTGTTTTTGCAGATGAGAATTACTTATCTCTGTAATGCACCTGGCATCCAGTAGGTGTTCAAGTAAAGGAGAACACCATTATTATTTTTACTCCTAAGTTTCTGCTGTCACCTAGGGCCACCGGTTTATGACTTCGTGCCTCAGTTTACCCACAAGGAAAGCCCACATTTATTTTAAAAGATTCTCAGCATGGGGGCTTGTCCTCCCAACAACTGCTACGGCTTCAAGCACTTACCCAACACTTATTGGGCACCTACTGTGTGCCAAATATTCCATTTTAGCCACTGCTCCTTCCAAGCATCGGTCATGTGTCTTGGCCAAGCCCCTGCTGTGTGGCCAGCTCAGTACCAGGTGGTAACGGAGGGGGCGAGAAGGGACGCTGAAGACACCCTTTCTTACCTTGGGGCTCATGCTGTGTGAAAGCAGGGCTGGCACACTTGAGCCGGGATATTGGCCTGAGCGACCTGGTCTCTGAGAAGCTTGACTCTGGCATGATGTGGGCAGAGCTCTTAGAAACCAGGAGTCCAGCAGGTTTCGTCCTGCCCCCAGTGCTAAATTGTTGTGGGACTTTGTGGGAGTCTCACTGGTCACAAAGAACCCTTGCCTTATCTCCATGAAGATGTTGCACTGACAGCACATAAGAGAAGGGACACACTGTGCTTTGAAGACCACAGGTCACACTGCGAGTGGAATGGTCGACAGGGGGCTATCGAAAGGGTTGGGAGTAATCAGGGAGGAAGGCTTCCGAGATACTCGCTTTCCCAGTGTCCTTGGAAATGAACCCTTGGGTACCATGCCCAGCCTCCTTTCCATCTCCCCTTGGCCTGGGGTGGGAGCCTGACCATGCCCCGCGTGTGTCCAGATCCACCCAGACGTCACTCGCACATTCCTGCCCACAGCCTGTACTCTGCTCCCCTCACTCCTAAGGGCATGGCTCCTGCAGCATCACTCTCAGGGGCTTTGTTGAACTGCAGCAGGAGGCCCTGTGACCTTCTCCAACATCACAGATGTGGGGACTGGGGACTGAGAGGGCTGGGGATACACCACCGCCTTGCTAGTCTTGACAAGATGGGGGTCCGCCGTGCTAGAGGCAGTGGGCTGGCTAAGATGACCCTGGGTCCTGCTCTTCCCCCTGGACAGCCAGAGAAGTTGGGCGACATCTGCACCTCCCTGCGCTACGTGCCCACGGCTGGGAAGCTCACTGTCTGTATCCTGGAGGCCAAGAACCTGAAGAAGATGGACGTAGGTGGCCTTTCAGGTACATGCAGAACTTCTGGCTGCCATTGGGTGGCACCAGCGAGCCGGTCACTGGCCTGAGTTCTCTGTTCACATATCCGTTGTAAGAGCACTTTCTGGCCCTGGGATACAGAGAGTATCACCGAGCAGCTGTGGGTCTGAGCGCAGGACTGTGGAGCCGGAGAGGTCTGACTTTCCCTCCTTTCTCCACGGGTCCCCTGCCCCCACTCTGAGCTGCTGGGCAGTATAAGCCATGGAGGGAAGAACCAGAGAAACTCGTGTAGGAAAGCTTGCCTCTGTCACGTGCCACAGTCCGGAACACTTTTCCGGGAGGCGCTCTGCTGGCCCTACCCTGGAAGGGGACTTGGGGGGTGGGGAGCACACGGAGCGGGGCCGGCCCACAGCACAGGGTTCTGGTGGGACAGCGGAGCACGCACTTTCCCGAGAATCAGGCCTGTGCCTGGGCTTCAACTGGTGGGGCTGGCTGCCGGCTCTGTCACTGATCCGCTGTGTGACTGGGGGCACATCACTTCACTTCTGTGAGCCTCGGTTGCTCATCTGCAAGGTCAGGAGGATTGGATTGAATCGGGGATGGCAGATGTGTGTGGTGCCTTCAGCACTCCTCTGTCCCCTGCGTAGGACAGATATCACCAAGCGACCCCCTCACTCTTTCTAGACAAGGCCTTACTTAGTCTCAGGAATGTCCCCAGTGTAATGCTCCAGGCGTTACACGAGGCCACAACCAATCAGCCCGAGGTGGTCCTTGAAGCGAAACCTTTTTGCCACCCCTGAACTGGACGCTTACTCTGCTGCTTTTGGACTCAGCGGCCCATGCCTTAGGGCTTGCTGGGTGCCTGGCCTTGGTGGGGTGGGTGCTCTAGGCGGGCAAGTACGTTCGGTGGGAGGGTGGGGCACTAAGGGTGCCTTTCCGGGGCCGGGATTCTCCCTGCACAGACCCCTACGTGAAGATCCACCTGATGCAGAATGGGAAGAGGCTCAAGAAGAAGAAGACGACGGTGAAGAAGAAGACCCTGAACCCCTACTTCAACGAGTCCTTCAGCTTTGAGATCCCCTTTGAGCAGATTCAGGTGCTCGGGTTTTCGGGCCTGGGGGCACAGCAGTGGGGGCATGAGGGAACTCACCCAGACGCCTCGAGCCACCTCACTCGCCCTGGTGGGAAGGGCTCTGACTCTCATGGTGCCGTCCTGGGTCCTCCTTCCCGGGGCCCCTGCCAGAAAGGGCTTCCCCCTTTTCTGAGATGAACAAGAACCACTCCAAGCCATCCTACCCATCATTCCTTGGGAACTGCGAGGTACACGGGCGTTCAGTGGGCCTGTGAGGTTGGAGCTGCCGGGGAGGTAGGGGTATAGCCTCGTCCTCTTCCCGCTCCTCCTGGTGCAGCCGCTTCCTGCCTTGGCCAGCCTTCTCCCACTTCTGCTGCCCCCTGGGTCTGCTCCCAGGTACCCCTCTGCCCCCTTCCTCTCTCCTCTTCCCCTCCATCCTTCCCTTCTCTACTGTCTCCTTCCTTCCTCCTACCAGCAAGCTCGGTAAGTGGTGGAGGTGAGGTCTGTTTTTCACCATGAGGGGGCATGAGTGAGATCTGAATGTGGCGGGACCAGACACCCACCGAGCCGTCTGGAATTGCAGAGTGCTGGATCCTCTTGGAGTCTTGGTCCCTCCCTCTTTGGAGTGAGCTGCTCCCTCCTCCCTTTCTCTCCCTCCCTGCCCCCGCCCCCAGGACTGGGAGGCGAAGGTGTCAAGGGAATCTCAACGATAACGTTAGACCAAGAGAAGTCCTTGTGGAAAACTTAAGATAGACATGAAGCGTACTGGCCAGGAGTTTCAAGTTCGACACGCCAAAAGCCAACATAATGATCTTCCCCAAACCCCTTCCCCCGCCCACACCCCAAACCTGCTTCATCTGCATTCTCTTTTCAAGTGACAAACCTCGGCATCATCTTAGACCCCCTACCCTTTTTCCTTTCTCGTTTACCCAACATGCTTTGCTGAGCATTCCCTAAGCGCCTCCCTAGGAACTGGCTAGGTGCTGGAGAAGCATGTGCAGAAGACATAGTCCTTGCTCTCGAGGGCGTCACCGTCGCGAGGGGGAGCAGGGACAGGCCATTGAAACAGGTGAGGCTTCCTGGACAAGCTTGGTCCTAAAGGTGGAGCTTGAGTAGCCTGAGTGGGCTGTGGGGCAGGATGAAGAAAGGTCCCGAGTGTCACCTCGGCCAGTCCAACTGACACCAAGTCCTTTTGATTCTCTCCCCTCAGTGCCTCTCCAGCCTGGCCCCTGCTTCCATTCCCACCGCCCCACCTTGGTTCAGGCATTCACTACCCAGCCCCCACAGCTCCCCCCTCGGCCCCCGGCCGGCCCCCCCCACCTGTCAGTCCCCGTCCTCCTCCAGTGAATCTCCCGCCTCGATGTGAGGGGTCTCTTCCTGAAATATCCATGCCACTCCTCCCAGGAGTCTTTGGGAGCTGCCTGTTGCTTGCCTGAAGAACAAAAAGCACACTCCTTAGCTGACCCCACCCTGCACAGCCCACCCTGCTGACCCCATTTCCTGCCTGGTTGTTCTCACACTCAACCTCAGTGACTCTGAACTTCTTCTGTTTCCAAGATACCAAGTGCACGCTTCTATTTCTATGCCTCCGCCCAGGCTCCTCTTGCTTCTTGGGATTCTCTTCTCTCTCTGCCTAGAGAAGTCCTCAGCCTTCACCTCCCAGTTTCTATGTCACCTCCTTGGTGAAGCCTTTCTTGATTGACCCGAGGAGGACTGTCGCCTCGTCTGAGTTCCCGTAGTACCTTGTGCTAACCTCTCTAGCAGAACCTGCCTCACTTTGTGTTGTAAATTTCTGAGTATGGGTCTGCTGCTTTCATTAAGGTGAAGTACTCCTCTTCCCTTGTCTTCACCGCCCTCCACTTCCAGGCACTCAACAGTGGCTGGAGCACAGCACATGCTGGGTAAGTGCCTACTGGTAGGGAGAAAGGCTGTTTCCAGAACGTGCAGCCTTTGCCTCCCTTTAAGTTCAGTCTTGGAAGTAAGTTCAGAGATAGAAGCAAGCCGCCCTGGGAGGCCTCTCCTTGCGGGGCATTTGGAGTAGAGGATAGAGGAGGAGAAGTTTGGTCACGGGATCGTGCGTTTCCACCTGCCAACTCCCCCCCCTCCCTCCTCTGTTTCCCCGCAGAAAGTCCAGGTGGTGGTCACTGTGCTGGACTATGACAAGCTGGGCAAGAACGAAGCCATTGGCAAGATCTTCGTGGGCAGCAACGCCACGGGCACAGAGCTGCGGCACTGGTCTGACATGCTGGCCAACCCCCGGAGGCCCATCGCCCAGTGGCACTCGCTCAAGCCCGAGGAAGAGGTGGACGCGCTTCTGGGCAAGAACAAGTAGGCAGCAGCGGCCGGGATCCCGCGCCGTTACAGACACTGACAAGATCCAGAGCTATCAATACCTCAGTTATGCAACCTTAGAGGTTTTCTTTCTCATTTGTTTGTGGTTGTGTCCTTGTTTTTCCTTCCTTTATCTCTTTGAGAGACCAACTTCCCTCTGATGGCTGTGTGAGGAGAGTCCCCTAACAGGTGAAAGAGAAGCCTGGCTCTTTTCATCGTCCCAGGAGCTGTCCTTGCTGCATGCCCTGTCACGTGTCCCTCTCACTCTTTCAAAGCTTCACTTGAACCTCACCCTGAGTGAGGCCCTCTTTCAGCAGAGAGTCACAGCACTTCCTGTGTTTTGAGTGTTCTGGACCAACAAAATGGCAGCACATCCTGTTTCCTGACAGGGAAGGCAACACAGTGGCCTATGATGTGTGCGTGTGTGAGTGTGTGTGTGTGTGTGTGTGTGTGTGTGTGTGTGTGTTGGAGCATCTCTCTGCATTCCTGGGATGAACCACGGACAGTGAAGTTGTGTGGGAAGAGAAGGCTCTTCGGGGACCCTGAAGTGAAGAGACGTCCACTGTCTAAGTGGGAGATCTTCCGTCAGCTCGTGGAGAGGGCTCAGGATCCTGGTCGGGTGTCAGACGCTCCCATACTCTTTGTGGGTGGCTATTTGGGAGGCAAGATGTGGAGACTGGACTTGTCCAGAACTAGGACCAAAAACCTGATGCCATCATAGACTTCCTCTCGTCAGGCCTTGTTTCCCCACAAGTGTGGTTTCTGGGACATTCGTGGACATGAACTATTCACTAGATTGGTTAGACTCTAACAGGGACCATCAGTCCTGGGATCTCACTGTTGTTGACAGTTAACGTCAAACTATGAAGAAAGAAGACCCATTACCTAGAAAGACCAAATGAAACTCCTGGATCTTCTTTACCCCCTTCCAGTGGGAAACACAGATGCTTTCTCCCTTTCCAGAATATAAGCTATGCGGTTCATTTGCATTTTTTCCCCATCATGCTTTTGCTTCTGTTTTCTCTTTTAATCTAAGTGGAGCAACACTATCTGAAGACTGTTTTGTGTACAGAGCCAGAGACTCTAAAAAGAAGGCTTGAATTCTTGTCCCCCTGAGGTCCAGGTAAGAAGGGGGAGGATGGTGGAGAGACGGCAGAGATTTCCCGGATGAGATAGGTGGGGGTGCTGAGATCCGTGCCCCCCCAGCTCCCACTCCTCTGCCTTCCATGCCAGATAGTTTGTGGGTAGCTGACGTGGCCCAGGGAGACCTGTGGGGAGGCCCCATCCTACTATTCCTTGGGGAGGCGTCTCTCTATGAATGCCAAGAAGCAGGACATCCATTCCAAATGGGTGGTGGAGGACACCTGCCGGGGTTTCTACCCCACGCTCGGTTGTGTCCCTTTCCCTCTTCACCTTTTGTCCCCAGCATTGATAAAAAGCCATATATATGTTAGTCAAGTTTGCACTGAGCCTCCTTCCAAACCTTCAGCCTGGGCAGGAGAGTCAGGTCCCACATGACCTAAGGCCAGCACCACTTCCTTTCACCCCTTTCTCCCACCCTTGCCTCCCTTCCTTCAGCCTCTCTCTTCCATCCGTGAAGCCCTCAGGCCCTTGCCATTTCTTCGCCACAGAATACTCATAGCTTCCCCAAAGCTTGGGGATCTCTCTCTTTCCCAGCAAAAATGGCAGCACTTCCTGTCCTGTCCCATCTGGACCACCTCAGTTTTCTATAGGTACCTGAGACAGACGGACAGTGTTAGAGACACTCAGGGTTTGAGGGTCCAGAGCATCTTTTTATTTTATTAAAAGAAAGGAAATGGGGTTTTTTTTTGTTTCTGCTGTGCCATGTGTTTTGATTAGAGCAAGGAATGAGGGAACACCTCCGTCAGAAACAGACTGGGAAGCAGGGCTGAACCTTGCCCATCTCTCAGAGACCCTTCTCCTTCTTGCTAGTGGCCCTTGGCATATGGGAGGTCGTATTTTACTGGAGCCTGTGTGAGTTTGGGTGTGTACTTAATGATGAGAAGGTAAGACTCTGACAAGGACTATGAGCTTTGGTCCTCGGGACCAGAGTTGTGGTCCTGGTGGAGAGTTGTCAGAAAATGGGGTGCCTTCAGAACCCAGCTGACTGCAGAGTAGGATGTCCTGCTATGGGCATCAGGAGTCACTGGGCTCTTCTCCAGTCTCCAGAGCTGTGAGGTTTTGGTGCTTTCTCAGGGTCTCTCTCCCCACCATATCCCACAAACCTTGCTCAGAGGATTGTCCATCTTGTTTTCCTTACCTTCATTCTTTTGCCCTTTCCCGATGGGCTTCCTACCGCCTGAGATTCTTCTCAGCCCATGAACCTGATTCAGCCCTTCCAGAGCCCGAGATTTGCCACTCTCCTGATGGGGAGGAAAAGAAATGGTGGGCACCCCTAGGTGGTGTGGGTGTCCATGTGCCAAGAGACAGGGGCTGGATTTTGTTACTCTGGGCCCACCTCTAGTGAGCAGGTGGGGACAGGTTGCTGAGAGACTGAGTGTTGTTGGCATTGGTGTAGAGCCAGGGCGAGACCTATGTGTGGGCAATCATTCCCCCACCCCTGCACCCCACCTAGGTTCTGGCTGGTCCTGAGATGGGTGCTTGGCCCAAATGAGCCATCCTAGTCAAGGCATCTATCCAGCCTCGTGAACTAGGCAGGTCAACTTAGAGTCGTGAGTTTTCTACACCTGAAGGCTGATGTTACTCTAACTCCGGAGCATCATTCTGTACTCTCATTGCCATGCAGGTTTATTTCTGGAGACGTTAGGGTGGGCTGTAGGCCCTAATTAGGAGCTAGGGTTTGACTAGAGAAGGGTTCCGGAGGCCTCTGTGGTTATGAGTTTCCCGTCTATTCCAGGCAGGAAATAGCGTAGAAGAGATTTTTTTCCAAAGGGACTGAGACCACAAAGACTCAAACCCAATCCCACCCGGAAATGGGGTGAAGCCAGAAAACTCGGGCTTCTTTCTCCTTGAATAATCATCCCAGAGGGGAAACTAACTCCGCCAGAGCCATAGGCAGATTGTTGGTCTTTGAAAGTGGAAGCTGAGGCCTGGGGACAGCCGGGTAGAGAACCCTCGGGCAGCCCCAGACAGTGAGCGAGCAGATGCTTGGCATGAACGAGAAATGACTTGGCAGGGATCCCTCAGGTGGAGGACGGGACAGCAGGGATTAGAGCACAGTCTCAGGTGATGATCTTTTTTTTTCTTCCCAGGCAACCATACATGGTTGTGTTTCTGCAGAATCAGTTTGGGATGATTTTGCTGGCCCAGGGCTTCAGCGAGAGAAGAGAGAGGGGTTGCCTCAGTCCCTCCTGTGGGTAAAACCAGCTCCCTGACAAACCTGCCTCCATGCAGCGGGGTGGTGGTGGGTGAGCAGAGAGGTTAAGAAACTCCCCTGGGGTCGCAAGTGAGAGATTCCATGATCCTTTAATGTATGCTAACTCTCGGTCTCACCCAACCATATACAGAGAGAGGCTGTCTTTTGGTGTCCCCCCCCCCCCGCCCCCGTAAAGGTAGGAAGAAATTGAGCCAAGACCTGCCCTCCCACCCTCCACTCTGTCCCTTCTACTCTCCCCCTTCCCACCTCAGGCTGGTCGGGGGCCCTGTCTCTGAGCCCAGCATGGTGGCAGGCAGCGAAGGGTCCCAAGGCCTGGTCTTGGTGGCCCAGAGCCCCATGACATGGTTTGTCAGATTGGCAAACAAAAATACAAGATACCCAGTTAAATTTGAATTTCGGGTAAACAGAAAATAATTTTGAGGCTAAGTATGGCCTAGGCAGAATTTGGGACATACTACGCCAAAAGTGATGTGTTGTTTACCCGGGGTTCAAATGCAACTGGCTGTCCTGTGTTTTATCTGGCACCCCTATTCTATGACCACTTGTCCCCTCTGCTCCCCCCCCTTCAGTCCCAGGGGGCCAGAGACTGGTCACCAAGGATCTTACTGCTTTTTGAGCTGCAACATTGAGAAGGGGACACTGTGACTTGAAGACACACGAATATACTTTATTTTTGAAGCGACAACAAAACAAGACCCTTCTGAAGCCATTCGAGCCTCATCTGACCCCTTCCGTGTGCATTTAGTTATCTATAAAAGATGATAGTGACCTATAAACATATGAACCGAGTCTTGTCTACTCAACATGCATGTCTCTTTCTGTAAATAGCCGCATGGCCGTGCCCCTAACCCCTAACCCCTGACCTCAGACCCATTTCACACCACTCGTTGAGGCTGCCCCTTCGATTTTATGTCACGTAAAGTCTTTGTCCCCAAGCCCCACCTGGTCTCACCCCATCGGGAATCCCCCAGTGGGAGCCGTCGGCGGTGGGGGGGGAGTCGGCTTCCGGCTCTGGCACCAGCCCTGCCTTCAGGGACGTGGGACGACCACCGGTGCCCTGAAGGCCCGTCAGTCCCCACTGCCTGCCGCACATCCGCCTGCAGAGCTGACCCTCCGTGTACCGTGCACCGTGTCCAGCCGGGTGTCTGGTGTCCCGGTGGCTTCCGTGTCCTGCGTGTGTGTGTGTGTGGTGTGCCCCTTCCTCCCACTGTTTGAATTAACTGAAAAGCCATAAAGGGGGCCTCCTGCTGGAGACCGCCCTCGGTTCCTCCCAGGAGCCCCCCGTGTCCCTCTGACTGGCTCCCCACAGAACACTTGTGAAGGGCTCACCTGTTGTCACCCCTCCTGCTCTCTCAGCCCCACGTCATGAGGACGGATGGTGTCCGGGGGTTCCGGCAGGGCCCCAGGAGACGTCCCACCTGGCCCTGCCCAAGCGGGCTCCCTCCACCTGGGTTTGACAGTCCAACTCCATTTCCCCCCTGCGCGTGGACAGGGCAGTGGTGGGGACACCATAGTTTTGGGTACCTTTCCTAAGGGCGCTGAGGAGGCAACCAGGATTTTCAGGAGCAGCTAGTCAGTGGCTCGGGTTCCCATTACCATCTGGCTTTGACAGACCCAGCCCCACGTATGTGACACCGCGGGGT